TCTCTCACAACAACGCTAGCTGGTCCACTGATGCTGATGGGTTCCTAGAACACTTACCTAGTGGGAGAAACCTGTATTACAAGGAACCTGCTCTCCAAAAGATAATCCCATTTTTTTTAGGCACCCCCTGGTACGAATCCAATAGCCACTGGCTTTCAGGAATGTACACTTTAGATGGTAAGTTTAGTTAGCAAATTTCCTAGCTTTTTCATGTTTTCTTCTCCTTAGAAATTTCACTTTGTACTTATGCCTTAAACTTTAACAAACCTTTCAAAGATGCTGCAGACATTTACCAGTTTTTGTGAGGCACAGTAGTGGGTACTGGGAACCTCTGAGCACTGTTCTTGTCCTTGAGCGTTGATGGCCTTTCAGGAGACAGATGAAGGGCTTCCCAGTTGGGCTGAGGAGGGTTGTTGCATTTAGGGCTAAGTACAGTAAAGCAGTTTATGAGGCATGGCTGGTAAAGGGAAGATTCAAGTCTCTTCTTTGTTTGTGGACCTCTAATGAGTAACCCCATTGACAGATGGAAGCTTGGAAGGGACATTCTCGCTTCTTCTGGACCTAAAGTGATAGAAAACACATTTCATTTTTGATACTAGCTACTTGTACTGCATGCACTTTTGATTTTCTTGTTTGTTTAGCAGGGGATTGTGGTAGATTGAATGGTGACCTCCAAAAATGATCCATGTCCTAGCCGCCATGAACGTTAAATAAATGTGATCTTATACAGGGGGGGAAGTCTTCGCAGATGTAATTGATTTAAGGATACCAAGACAAGATCGTCCTGGATTTAGGGTGGGCTCTAAATCCAATGACTAATACCTTTATAAGAAGAAAAAGGTAGAGGGAGATTTGAGTCCTGGACACACAGAGAGAAGGAAACCACATGAAGATTACAGCAAAGATTGGAATCATGCTGCTTCAAGCCAAAGAACACCAGGAGACACATAAAACTGGGAGAGGCAAGGCGTGATTCTGTCCTAAACCTCCCAAGGGAGTATGGCACCTTGATCTTAGATTTCTGATCTCCACAGCTACAAGAGAATAAAGTTCTGTTGCTTTAAGTCACCAAGTTTGTGATCATTTGTCAGAAAATGAATACAGAGACCTAAAACGCAGGCTTGTTCTAAAGATGTTTTTCCGAAAGGTTCCAGAAAAAAGAGAAAGAGAAGGAGTTCGCGTGCAATATAAGAGGGAGTAATGATCACCGAGCCCCTAACATGTTTTAGGCTCTGTGGCAGCTGCTCGGGACAGCTCCTGCTGCATTTGGTCCTCACATCCCCTGATGGATGAGTAAACTAAGGCTCAGAGCAGCAAAGTGAGCTGCCTAAGATTAGCTCATAACAAAGATGGACTCACACACAGTCCTGTGTGTTTCAGAAGTTCTGCTTCTTTGTACCGCATCACAATATGGGGTCTGACAATTAAGTCCATGAACTCATCCTAGACAGTGCTGCATACCTATTTGCTGAATATGAATATCAATACAGTCACCTTCGAAGTCCTCCCCTTGGGAAGCTATGCACCAATGCCAGCACCTAGTCCACTCGTCAAAGCTGTTTTAGAACTGAATTCCTTTCAATATTTCCTTTATCTTCAGGTAAAGACAAAAGTCATTTGGGGGCCAGATCAGGTGAGTAGGGACGGTGTTCCCATGCAGTTATTTGAACAGTGCTGCCAACATAGGCACATGGTGGCAAGTTTGTGAACTTAATTGTCAGAGCTCAACAAAGAATAATGACAGTCCTGATGGCCATTCCAGAAAAAGAGTTCCAAAATTGCTTTGACAGTTGGACTAGGCGCTGACATTGGTGCATAACTTCCCAAGGGGAGTCCTTCAAAGGTGACCATAGTGATATTCAGCAAGGAGGTAGGTAGCACTTTTTCTAGGACAATTTGAAAACCTAATTGTCGATCCTTGTATAAACAGGTATGCTCAGTCTGAAATTTTCTTTTTTTCTGTTGCTTCTTCTCAACCTCTACAGTCTAATGCTCCCTTCTTCCCTTTCCATGCACTCACAATGATCTGAAACCACTTTGGTTTACATTTTTATTTTACACATTTCCTTTAAGAATTCTTTTTTAACACACAGGTATTCCTCTTGTAACAATTTATGTGTATGCATACACTACAAAATGATTAATTGAGCGTTGTATGTTTTTATCAAAGGAAACAATGCAAAGATTTCTCCAAAGTCCTGTTTGACTAGAGATGATTAATTTTAATTTTCACATGAGCAGCATAATGCTATTAATCATTTAATATGTTTAATCATAATCTCTGTAATTCCTAATTAGGTTTATTAAACTGAAACATTCAGCAGTTGTGCACAAATCCAAATCTAAGTCTCCTTCTCAGGATGAGAAAGAGCTCATTTTATTTTTGCATTTAAACAGGAACTTCTAACAGGATCAGAAAAAAACCCTGCAAGTCCGGTGTCTTAGGTGCTGCATGTACAAACTTACAATCTTGTTATAGAGTACTAAAACCTCTTACCCCTCTGAAAAATGACAGTCTCATGATTCAAGGTCATTTCTGTGTCGTGGACGTGGAACCAAACCTCATATTACCAGTGGAAAAAACAAGGTTTCTGCTCTGTTTGAGGCTCAATGCTATAATATAGCTCTTTGACTATCACTTGAAGGTGGCAAAGTTGATTGTTCACTTATTTATTCATTACTTTATATATGAACTAAAAATTATTCATTAATTCAATCGGTAAATCAGCCAGCCATTAAACAGACATGTACCATATGTGTCATGAGCTGGGCATACCACACCCTTGCTGTGATCCCTTAGTGTCTCCTCATAGGTTTTAGAATGAAGTTCAGACTCTGACTTTAGCCACATAGTCCTTTGGTCCAGGCCCCAGTCACCTCTGTGATCTGCTGTCCTTACCTTTCTTCATACACGTCCCCTCTGACCAGTCCACATCGAGAATGTTATTTCACATTTCTGCCTCTTTGCACATGCTCTGCCTTGTCTTGGTATAACATCAGTCCCTTCCCCCTCTTCTCTTAGACATCTCTCACTTAAAATTTAACCCCCAGAATTGACAAGCCTTGCTGAACCTCCAGCTGTGCAGTAGGTCCCTGATTTAAGGTCAGTCAGCCCTTTGTGACAGACTTGTATCCCAGCATTTACGATCCGAATTATAATGGTCTTTGTCTACATCTTTGTCTTTCCCTAAACTGGGAACGGCATGTGACTTGAAGGACTGTCCAGTGTCTAGTAGTTGCTCAGCAAAAGACTTGTTTAGGAAGCAAATGAGAACCTTTTCTTTATGTTTCCCAAGAGAGATTTACTCTTCTCTTTTGACATTTAAAAAAAATCACCCATCACTCTAAAAAATGTATTACTTTTTATTTACTGAATATATACCATGTGCCAAGAACTCTGCCAAGTTGTCATACATTATTGTGTCCAATCTTTACAAAACCTTATAACTTTGCAAACTCTTAATATTTCTTATTTTCCAGTTAAGAAAATGATCATTATCATCTTTCCTATTCAATCCTACAGGATAGGTGAAATGACTAAGTACGTTGTTGTTGTCATCATGACGTTACACTTGAAAGTTGAAGAAATTGTCTAGTAGGGTTTTTGATACCAAATGTGCTCGGAAGGTTGATGTGCCAACCAACAGGAGATCTTGACTTTAAAATGCAATTCAGGGTGTGTTAGGAAGGAGAATGCAAATAAAACCTTCGAGTCAAAACCAGGGTTAATGAGAAAGTTACTAATTAATACCCATGTTATTTGGAACTTTCTTTTACATTTCACTTTGCAAAATTGTCTCCTTCTCTAAGCCATCATTATTTTATACGTGGCTGCCTGCATTGAAAATGTTGTCCAGTGTTGTCCAGTTACATGCTTCTAAATTGCTTGTAAATAGGTGAGGATGGTTCCCTGTTCATAATTTTGATAGGTTTCACGTAGGGTTTCCAATCATGGCTGTCAATGAAACCAGTAATCGGATGTAGGTGGCATCTACTGCCACCTAGGGACAGCATATTCTAATTGCAGAGAAAGTATCTAAAAATGAAGCATCTGAAATATCAAAACTCTATAACTGAGAGTATAGCAATAGTTATAATGATACCAGATGGTATACTATGACTTTTCTCCTAGTTCCTGCATAGATGTGAGTGTCAATGTAATATCATGTATCCAGACTTATTTGGGGAAAAGGGTGGTGGAACAATGAATTATACTAATAATATTACACCAACAGAGCATAAAAGAACTTTCTGCCGAGATGGAAATATGCTATATCTTCATTGTCAAACATGGATGCACTCGCTACATGTGGCCCTTGAACGCTTAAAATTCAGCTAATGTAACAAAGCTTTATATCTTATTTGATTACTTAAATGGAAATTGCCACATGTAGTCAACTATAGTGGAAGGCATAGGTTTGTAGAATTAGAACCTTAAAAAAAAAAACAACCAATAAGCTAGGTACTTGGACTGAGGAATGCCAAGCAACCTTTCTACAACATTTATTTCTATTTCATCTGCATAGCCTGAACAAAGACGCAGGTGTATCTCAAGATTCTGAACTGCATCAGTTAAGGATTACACTCTCTTACCTTTAACAATTATTACCTTGTCTTGATGTGTTTTCATTCACCATCCCCCATCCCAGCATCACCCAGTCCCCTTGACTTGATTTATTTTTGTCTATGCTGCTTTTTTCTTACTTCCAACTCTCTATTTATTTATTAGTAGGTTTTATGGTCTGTCTTTTCCCCATGAGAATTATGCTCCATGAGGACAGGGATTTTTGTCTAGTTTGTTCATTGCTGAATCCCAGGTGGGTACTCTGCGGAGGCTCGAAAAACATTTGTTGAATGAACAAATGAATGACTCAGCAGTTTCTTCCTTTCCCTGGTTCCTTTGCTCTGGCCTTTTCCAGCCATTTAGGGGAAATAAAAGCACATGGGAACAGAGCATTTGGGTCCACTCAGATCCTCTTTCTTTCCTCTTGTTCTTTTAGCAGACAGATGATGCAGCACCAACGGATGGCCAGCCCCAAACACAACCTTCCGAAAACACGGAAAATAAGTCTCAGCCCAAGCGACTGCATGTCTCCAATATCCCCTTCAGGTTCCGGGATCCGGACCTCCGACAAATGTTTGGTGTAAGTATTGCCTTTCTTCTCAGCTGTGCCCACTCTGGGGTCCTCAGAGTACTCCCCTTTCATGTAAGTTTTTGGTATTCACAATAATAAGACGAGATATTTATGAGGAGGAAAGGCATTTTAGAGCCTCATTTATGGGTATATTGTAGCTAGCATCTCTTTGTGGCTTCAGCATAAATTTATTTGCATATACTTACCATGTTTCTACTTTGTCAAATGGTCTTCCTCTAATAAGTAATTTGAATGTCAAATGGAAAATAAACTCCTAGATTACCCACTGTTGAAACAAGACGGTTGATGTTCCCAAATATCCCAAATTCAGTGGCCCAGGAACCCACAACATAGCTAAAATATACATTATGAGTCCTCTTGGTTCCCCCTTGGTTCTCATCTGTATCACAATTGTCAGATTATCCAAAAGAGTGACTCATGATGCATTCCTGCATTCTCTACTCTTTCCCAGGCACTGTGCATTTAGATTTCAGATGCAGCTGCAGAGAATAAACTAGTTCTGCATAAAGTTCTGTTTAAAAACAAAAACCACACCAACTTAGGAAAAAAACCCCAACCAATTTCTAAGTCTGACTTGACTCTTGCAGTATACATTATCTTGAAATCAGTGACAAGGATTCAGAGATACTTACTGTGATGTTATCTGTCACAAAGGACAACTTTAAGCCATTGTAAGACACAGAGCAGTCCAGAAGTCACCACCAACCCAGAGAAAATAAATAATAGAATTGCTTTTTTATTGGTCATCATGACTCAGATTTTTTTTTTTTGTCTGAATGATATCTTCACTAACTACTTCAGGAAGAGAAAAGGGATGAGTTTGCCATTTCTGTGAGCTCAGTTCTACCAAAGGACAAAGCTGTGACAGAACTTGGATATCACTTATTTTAGCAAATTTAGCCAGTCAATCTGCCCGTGACATCCAAGCAATGATAGTAACTATCTGTGAATTCAGTGAAAAGAACTAGCCAGGCATAGCACCTCATGCCTGTAATCCCAGCACTTTGGGAGGACGAGGTGGTAGGATCACTTGAGCCCAGGAGATCGAGACCAGCCTAGGCAACATAGCAACAAGATCTCATCTCTACAAAAAATTTGAAAAAGTTGGCTGAGCATGGTGGCACGCACCTACATCCCAACTACTTGGGAGGCTGAGGCCAGGAGTTGAAGGCTGTGGTGAGCCATGATCGTGCCACAGCCTGACAGCCTGGGCAACAGAGTGAGACTCTGGCTAAAAAAAAAAAAAACAAAAAAACCAAACTTCAACCTTAACATTTGACTCAGAGCAAAGGTGGGTTGCTTGGTAACTCTTCTAAGAGTTTATGGATGGATACAAATATTACCAAAAAAATAAGAAGATACCCAAGTTGAATGCCTCCTTCTGAGCAAAGTTGGTATCATTTGCCATATGAAAAGGGGAACTCTGGTTCATGACTCCAGGGCTCTGAGATTTGGAGATTAGCTTGCACCTTTTATTTCTTTTACTCACATGATGCTTATCAAGTATGCATCTGACACAAAAGCAGCACAAGCATCCTACTATTTAAGATACCCAGAGTTGAATCCTGACATTTCAGAGGAAAAGGTCAGCTTTTGCACTTTTATCTCTCTCATTTGGTAATAACCTCGAAAGGAGCCCTCCAACTCTTGCAGAACAGAGATACCCTTGGGCACTTTCAGGTCAAAGATGACTTTGAAAAGTGCAGAGCATTCAAAGTTAGAGTCGAGGTTAAGTGTGTGTGAAGCAGTAAGACCAGGCTTGAATGATGGGCAGCCCGAGGAGTTGTATCCTCTCTGCCACGTCAGGTTAGGAAGATATCTTCCTATTCTCTGTATCTTTTCTCATCAAGTGTCATCGTGATGTTGGTTTTGAATTCTGTTCCTTTAACGACCATCCTGGCACTCTTTCATGGTGTCACTCATCACGGCTCACCCCAGGTCCCACCCCTAATCCCTGATCTTCTTGGTTGTCCTGAAAGTTACTGGAGGCCAGAATGCCAAGTCAAAGATTCCAAATATTCACAGAAATCACAGAGAAAAGATTCTGCTTACATTAATATCTGAATCTCTCTGTTCTTATAGGGGTAAGGCAGATAGTAACTAACAAGATCGTCCCTAAAGACTGTACTACCCATTATCAAATCTTGATTAAAGTCTACTGGTTTTAGAGCCACTTCTTTTTTTTTTTTTTTAAGTCAAGATTTTCAAGCAACTGACAAGATGTCAAATTGACAAGATTACAGGCCAGGCTCAGTGGCTCAGCCTGTAATCCCAGCGCTTTGGGAGGCTGAGGTGAGTGGATTGCCTGAGTCCGTGGGTTCGAGACCTGCCCGGGCAACTTGGTGAGACCTCATCTCTACAATAAATCAAAAATTAGCCAGGCGTGGTAGCACGCACCTGTAGTTCCAGCTACTTGGAAGGCTGAGGTGGAAGGATCTCCAGAGTCCAGCAAGTCGAGGCTGCAGTGGCTGGGAGCGTGCCACTACACTCCAATCTGGGCAACAGAGTGAGATTCCAACTCAAAAAAAAGAAAAAAGCAACAGAAAAAGACAAGATTACAGATACACTTAATAGCTATCGATTAAGAGGATGCGACATCCATTCAGTAGCACTAAAACTATTTTTTTCATCACAAACAGGATCTGTGTCCATTTAAAATATATACAAGTTTTTTTCAGTGAGTTTTGCCTATGAAAATTATCAGGCGTATATGGATTCATGGACCCGTTGCAATGACTCTCTGGCCTCTTTGGCTTACAACCACTATGGAATTTAAACACTAAAAATCTGTTCTTCTTGGCCAAATATTGATGGCTACAAAACCATTCTTGTTATATGATACATGTAGCAGCATGAATCACATTGTGAGGCAGATCTGTAAACATTCTGACTGGCAAACTAACTCCCACTAGAGTTTAGGAAATTTAATCTGATTTTCTCTTTCAGGTCATAGCTACTAGAAGAAAGTAAATTTTAATTCCAATTAGGTATTTTTCAAATCATTTGGACATGAGGTGTCCTCTCTCTTTTTGGTGCTCTATCCTGTCTTTGTCATCTCACTTTGGCAGGGTACAGTGAGGACAGTTACAGAGAAAAACACTCACAAAGATCTTTGTGCTTTTTCCCCCCTTTTGTCTCTTTTGTTAAATATGAGCATGGGATTTCAAAGTCAAAAACAAAACAAGACAAAAAGAAACTTCCCTTTTCAGGCTGCCTAAAACTTGGCAGTGTTTGCAACAACTTCTGTAACCATTAATAATTCAACCATGATGTTTGCCACTGCTGCATGCCTGATGGTTACTGCAGTGTCTCACATTTTATTTTTAATTTGTATCTCCAGCACCTCTTCATTAAGATTAGAATACTGGTTACTTTCTTCCACAGTGCACTTCAAATTTTTACTTTCTCCTTTTGGAAGTATTTGTTTCAATGTTTGGCTTTAAGTCTTCTAGCTCATCTTATCTTTCTTTCTTTCTTTTTTTTTTTTTTCCTTCCTTTTTTAAGATGGAACATTCCTTGGGCAAGAGGTTACAAAGCAGAAGCCAGAGTCTTTAAAGTTGGGGTATGAGTGAATGGACCTATTATATTATCAGTGGTGTTGATACTAGATATTTCATTAGAAAGGATGTTAGTTCTAGTCCTGGCTACTTTTTTCTTGAGCTCTGTCTTCATGCTAGGGATCATACATGAGCATGCATTTTTTTTTTACATATGAATTTTTGATGATTCCAAGAAAGGAATATATGGATTTCCACTGAACCAAATCGATTGCAATGCATTGCCCCTAAATAGACTGCTTAATTTAATTTAATATGAAAAATTTAAACATTCTGGACGTAGGGGAGGGAAGTGGGTTATAATATATCCAGACCTCTGATGCAACACATGCTGTCACAGAATTGTTTTCAGAAACAGTTGTTCAGTGACTACAGGATTTGTGTTGATGCCACAGCCTGACTTTTGTTATCAAAATACAGACCCTCTGGGCAGGAAAATGATCTGTCAAAACTTCTCTGTATCATCGCAGAAAACAAACAAACAAAAAACATAGATCACATGACTTTCAGCATTGGCAAAAGCTTTAATGATCACTTTTTAGTAATAAATGGAGATGGACTTGCCTGTACCTTCAATGTTAATCACCTACCATGATATTATGAGTAGTGAAGTCATTTTGGGGGGACATGGCATGGTGTCCTCTACTTCTGCATTCCAAACATGAAGCTGACTCTGAGAAAAACTGGGATGATGCGTTTTCTTTGCCTCCATGCACACCCTTTTATCTAACCTTTACTTTCATGTTTTATGCTGTATCCATTGAACATCCTTCACAGTTTTTCAGAGAAATATTGTTTGATCTGGGAATGTCTAAAAATGCTTGGTACATATTTGCCCAAGTTCGTACCTGTAAGCTTCTGGATTTGGTTCTTGAAGCAGCTATTGAGGCACCTTGTGTGGATTTGAGGCGTTGCTGAACATTGCTGTTGAGCAAACAAATGCTAGTTAGGTCTGCGAATGAGTCGTGTCTATTTAAATTGAAAATGTGCCAGCTGTGTTTACATCATTAGTTCCAAACTTCCCAATTAAACTGTTGATACTATAAATATAGTTCACAACTGTCTTAGAAATGGGGCTTACATCAGCATTCTTCTTAGGGCTTGTTTCACTGGTTTTGAAAGCCATCAGCCTAATGGCAACTGCCAAAGAAGCAAACTTTGAGACCATTTCAGGGCAGATGGTGCCATTGTTTCATTTAGGGAATGACACATGCTAAGATTGCTGTTTGATTGGTTCTATCTCAACCAGATCTCATTTTGAAGGAAGTGTTTTTGTGTTGACTGCTTAGAGAATATTCTGTAGATGACATTTGCATTATGGAAGAGGCTCTTTGCAAACTTCTCCTTCCATAAATATATGTGCTTCTGGGCTCCTACACCTGAAATAAACATGATCATGTCTGTGTGGACTGAAGTTCACAAGTTGGAAGATTCTTTACTCTGATATTCAGTTCACTTTTGAATGGCAAATCCTCCGTTTCTCAATGAAGATTTTCTTCTGTTTTCATTGGTTTTTCTCTGACCAAAACTAGGACACTGATAATGCTCTGTAAAAAGATGTTCTCTTGACCAAAAGAACATTTGAGTGTCCACAAACTACACAATGAATTAGAGGCATGTTTCGTGGTACTTCCCCTGTATATGCTAACAGTATGCCCCTTCCATATCTTCTAGTTGAGCCTTCTATTCTTGGTTTCTTCCTACTTCTCTGTGAAATAAAGAAGTACTAGTACTTCTGTTCAACAAAAAAAGTGCAAGTCTGTGATCTTGACTGAGTAGAGTACATACTCTGAGGGGTGGGCACATTGCCATGACTCATCATGACAAATACTGGGTAACTTCATTTCATATTCAGTGGGCATATGCATATTTTTTCTGCCTTTCTGAGGAAGGTAGATTTCCTTGGAATGTTCTAGAGGACATCTTCTGTATGTCCCAAACAATCTGTTTTTCGAATGTTAGTAGGACCCTTTTGACATCCACTCTGGGTGTCTTGATAGTCTGTGACTGGAGCACATTAGTCACTCAAGCTTCCCCTGCTTCTCTGTGTTCTGATTGCTCCTTTTTTTGTCCTGCCCCACCCCTCACCCCAATCACTCTATCCTCTGCTACATAAAAGTGTGCTTAATATTCTAAACCCAGAAAGAGAGAAACAGAACACAGACTCTCTTAGGGTAATAAAGGATACGGAATACCAAAGCAAATAAGTAACGGGAAAGCTCAAAACAAAAAAGAGGATGGAAATATTTCTTTGTGTTGTTCTGTTTAATTTTTAATCACTCAAATGGACATTTGCTCTTGTTTTACACTGAGGTAAAATTCCCATTTTGTTCTTCTCTGGGCCATGGTACATGATTTTACATCATCTCCTCCCATCTGCCCTTATGTAGTGTAGACCATACTTAAGAAATACCCACACTACTTCATATGATCTAAGCAAACTGAAAAGATACCAAAGTCAGGGGAAAGGATTTTGGATTATCAGATGCTTCTAGTTTCAGAGCCCAAGTTTCCTCTTTTAAAGTTTGTATCAATAATTGCCTCATATTCATTTTTTACTAGAACTGCCTGATTTAACCAATTTTAAAAGATGTAAGATACAATTGTTGAATTTGAAGTTTAGGTAAACAGCAAATATGTATGTCCCAAATATTGTAGGGGACGTACTTATCCTGAAAAATTTGAAATTTAAATTTAACTGGGTGTCTGTATTTTATTTGACTATCTAGTTTATGTATAATCTGAATCTTTCTTTCTGGAGTTTTTTATGGAGACTATTTATGCTAATTGCTTCAAACCTATTTGTTTGACAATATGGAGAATTATCTTGAGAAAAGCACATTCCAGCCTAAGGGCTGAACACAACTGTGCTGATATCTTGATTATGATTGGTGACTGGATAGTAGGGAGAGCTTGCTTTTATATTTGTAATTTATTTGTATCATATGATCTAGCTGCTCCTGGATTCTGTGTGAGTTAAAGATCAAAACTATCAATATCATATTCTAGTTGGACATTTTAATTATAAAAATCCCACCTTATTGAGAATGTTTCTTCCAGTGTTTAGTGGAATAGACCAGAAGGATCATTAGATATACAGTAGTTTTCAATCTCTGATGCTCATTGCCTGGGAAAACAGTCATGCACTCATTAACAAAATAGAATTAACTTCTTGATTAACATTTATATCAGACCCTGAAAGAACATTTCACCTGTTGATGTATGCCATATTAAGAAAAAATATGCAGGACTGTGTTTTGGGTTTTTTTCTCTTTTTTTAAGAACATAACTATAAAACAATATACAAAATATATTGTTGATATTAAAAAGGGAAAAAATATGACAGGGAAACAAATACCAGTGTGCACAATATGATCTATTCCATTTCTTTTCGTGCTTATAAAATATTTCTCTTTTTTTGCAGCAATTTGGTAAAATCTTAGATGTTGAAATTATTTTTAATGAGCGAGGCTCAAAGGTAAGCAACTTAATTCACTTTAGAATTGCTTAGCTTACTTAAAAATGTTTGTTATGAATAAGGGGAAACAACTGCACTATTTTAATCAGCACCTGGTGAAAAGATACTTCAGTGGAAATTCCTTTAGAGACGACCTCCATTTTTCAAAATGGTGGGAATACATTGGGTTCAGTTTACAATGTATAAAGTGGATAATTTAAAATTAAATTAAATTATCCTGTTTTATACACACACACACACACACACACACATACACACACACACACACACACATAGAAAATTTCCAGAGGAAAATTACCCATGCTTAAAAAATAATGATGTTGTTACATTTTTGTTTTTCAGTGATAATTATGTTCTTTATATTAAAAAGTCAGTTGATAGTCTCATGAGCAGGTAAATATGTGATTATTCTGTATTAATAAAGTGCAGTTATTTTCCTGGGTTGTAGGGGAAAATTTTCATATACACCAACCTTTTGAATATAATTGTATTCATTAGTACATTTACAAATCAACATTTTGCAATTTGCCATTGCTTTGAGTTTGTTTTTTTCCTAGGAATTCAATTTTTAAATAGATTTTCCTAGAGTGCATAGAAGTCAGGGGCTATATGGAGAAATTCAGGCACCTTCAAAATAGATACATGTTTGGAGAAGAAAAAACAGACTCTTCCAAAGCATCCTTTCTATCCGTGGTTATCTAAGTGTGCTTGCAGACCAAGAATAGCAGCATTACCTGGAACTTATTAGAAATGCAGTTGCTCAGGCTCCAGCCCAAACCTGTTGAATCAGAAATCGAAATTGGACTGAGCAATCTGTGTTTTAACTGACCTTCCCAGGCTGTCCTTAAAGTTATCAACATGGTGTTTTTCTATTTTAGCCAAATACCAAGCCTTTGCCTGAATGCAGAATATCCCTTTGCCCCTTTAGTATTCTTTTCTTGTTGTGGCTGCACTTATCAGTGTCCTTTATCTACCAGGACCCACAGAAAATTCAGGAGCCCCATCAAAATCTTCCTTGAGGAAAACAGCCATCAGGCATATCAGCAGACACTGTGTGATGACAGGGAGTGATGTTGGAGAAGGATAGGGTTATGGATGCCCACAACCACAGAATGAACACTTATTTTTATCTTCTTTTTTTATTTTTTATTTTTAAGATGTGGGGTACAATTCATGGTTAGGTATACAAATGGTTATTGTACAGGTAGAGTTTGGGCCTCACTTTGGTCCACTTTTAATAGCTCTCCCTCACTTCCTAGCTGCCATTCTCCAGGTTGTCAGGAATTTTAAGCTCTCTTTGCCTTCCATCCTCAGACTATGAAAGTGAATGTTGAGAGAAACTGCTTGCCAAATACAGAGAGATCCTGGTTCTGGCCCCTTGGCTTTCCTTACACAGGCAGTTTGAGACAAGTCAGTATCCTGGAGGATACTAAGAAGTAATGGTTTTCTAGAGAGTGTCACAGGACACAGTGCTAGCCAACTCTCTTGGGTATATAACCACCTTCTCCCCATGAAGTCAACTTTTGAATTTATTACTTCTTGGACAGTCTGCAATCGCCTTCTCTCCTAAGGAGACTTAGCTCTGAATTGAGGGAAAGATTCAGCATTCTTTCCTCCATGGCCGAAATTATATTGTGACCTGTCAGATGAGAAAAAAACAACAAAAAAGGCAACCCATTATACTCTGCAGTTCTACTCATTCATTGTCATTTTTCCATAACGTCAGATGTTTTGTAGCCATTCTTAAAATTAACTCTCTTTCTGCTTCTTGTGTGAAAATCTTTACAGAGACTATTTCTGTATCTTCAAAACAAAGTGTATACAGAGAAAAATGTGCCCAGCCTAATCCTGTTCACTCAGGTCTGATGTGTTCTTGGCAAAATTGTAGAAGATGACCCAAATGTTGGTCAACTTGCCTCTAACCTTATAGCAGCATTGCCTTTACATAATTTTTTGTTTGTTTTTGAAATGTATATTTAATTTATATTCTGTTTTGTAACTTTGACCAGCTGAAGAAAGCTATTTAATTCCTTTCAAGAGCTGTTTTGGGACATTAGAAGAATATCATTTGCTATTTTGAAAGTACAATGGCGGTGCTATTTTTAAGGCTTTTTCCGTCATTCCCATGATTAGCCTGTCTCTGGGGGCTTCAGGAAAGAGACCATTTAAGTTTACTGCATTCAGAGACTGACTCTGTGAAGCTGCTTTTTTTTCCCTTTATTCTTTTGGTTTAGGAAGCATCCAAAATAGCTTCTCTCGGTGGGTGTGTTCCCTCTGAAAGAACTTGTCTTGCAGGTGTTGGATGACTGTTTAGGTACTGCTGGAATGTCGTGGAGACAGTGCATTTGGGAACTGCTAAATGGGAGTAGTAGCTCACACAGGGATATTTTTCATACTTGACATTATCCTTTATGGGAAAGGGCTTTATTTAGAGAAGCATTTCCATTTTAATGGTCGAGGAACCTGAACCGTTGTTATGACCTCATTTCCATCATTTGGTGCTGAAGAGACAGCCAGGAAATTAGTGGGCTTTTAAGAACTAGGAACTCACCTTCTGGCCATTCGTTCCCTATGGCACAATCCCTAAGGCAGGCCACTCAATGCTGAGTGATGATGGCCGTGTGTGTTGGGGTGGTGTGTGTGTGTGTGTGTGTGTGTGTGTGTGTATGTGTGTGTGTACATACACACTTACACATTCACAGGCAGGATCTATGTTATTCTAAGTATAAAGTAATTATTTAATAGAGGGATGGATAGCAAGTAAACAAAAAAACATATTTTTTTAAAAGGTATGGCAGGCTTTGAAAATGAGAATTAGAAAGCATTCAATGGCAAGTGATTCTTTATTTTTCCGTTTAGGAGATTTTTAACCATTTTGTTTGCTGCTGAAATGATGTATGTGGGGGCTATAGACAGATATAACTACTCTTTAAGTAGATACCTCAGAAGCATACAGTTTGATCTTTGATTCAGTAGATGTCTGTAAGCATTTGTTGCATTTCAGGAGAACTAACCATGAGTGGGACATAAGTGCATCCTGTCCTGGTAGATTTTTCTTGAATAGCAGAAGTGACAGACAATTCATATGAGTGACTACAGTGATGTATGCTATGTTCTGTGGTGATGGTGATATGAGAGACTGTTGAGGGTCCAAGCAGGCAGATTGATGTTCGAAGGTGGGGAAGTTTCCAGAAAAAAGGGAGCATTTATACCGAGTGAAAGGTGAGTAGGAATTTCCCACAATAAGGAAAGAGAGATGTCTTCCAGGCAGAAGGGGTTGTGTGTACAAAGGTCACTGGAGATAAGTGACGTGTGAGGCTCTTGGTCTCACAGGAAAATGCCATCTTTAGACGCCTCCCAACAGCACCCCTCTTGTAAATATGAGTTCTCTGCACTAGAAGCCAGAGGACTCGGTGTTTCATATAAAATGAAAAACAGTGCATCCATCCACCCAGGGTGCTTTATTTAAGCCTACTTAAGCCTTTATTTGAGATATAAAATGGTGTATTTGCATGAATGCAAAAAAAGGGAAGATATCACCTAAAAATACCAAAGTCCAAAAAAGAACAATAGCTAGGACACAGGAGGGTCATAATTTATGATTCACAAGAGGATTTTAAAGTCAGCGCATCATGCCGGTCTGGTAGTCCTTTGAAGGTTGCATTATCTGACCTATTGATTATACCTGCTCATCATAGGATGGCACAGGCCACAGATTTCCTCAGTAGCATTGAAGGTAAGCCCTAGAAGGTGTGTCTCTGATGCTCCTATTTATAGTCCTTCATGTGCTTTTGATTTTTAAGGGGTTACACATCAGCATCACACCCAGCTCCTAAGCTCAGTAAGCCAAGCCCAGAATATGCTTGTTTTGTTCTCCCTTTTTAAAAGGGCTGAGGTAAAAATATTCATCATCTTTTTAAAAACTGCAAGTTGTTGTTTCCTTGACTTAGAATTCCGACCAAGAGGCAGGTCAGAAAAAACAACCCTGGTGTCTGCTGTCAAAGTTGCCTAACACCTGTGCTTTCTAGAGAGGGAATCTGATGTTGGAGAGGACCAGGTGAGAGTCTGTCTGGTTACAGTGCAATTACCCACATGAGAATTCTTATATCCTGATGACCCAGGAGGCCGTATCACTTTTTGTCTGGATTGGAGATAAATTTGTCCAGTGGAAAGGGTAGGAAAGTCTGTTTGATGTTTTGAGGACTGTTGCTGAGCAAGTTCGTTCTATACCCAACTTTGCCAAATCTCAGCTAATCATCTCAGCAACATGAAAGAGGAGTATTAAGAACAATCTCTCGGGGGGGGGGGATTAGCAGAAAATAATAAGAACAATAATAAAAACATCAATATATTCTTTTTGCTTTTAAAACAAGTGACAACTTGAAGAATAGATTGGGGTATTTCCTTTTTAATTTATGCTCTTTCCTTGGAATTCAAAAGGGTACTTTTATCTCCATCCTCTTTTCTTGATATGCAGAATGCTGTCTTGGGTTCAGATTTGAAGCATGAGAGTAAGATTCTTTAGGATAATGTTGAATAGGTGGGTTGAGTGTTCTACCCAGTGCTGTGAGAATAATGACTGCTAGTCCCCGTAGGCAGAAATGATGCCACCTAGCCCTTTAGCTATAAGACTGGGGCCATGGGTTTTCTTTTCTTGCCTAGTGAAAAAAAAAAAAAAAAGTCCAAAGTCCTAGTTTCCTTTCTTTCTTTTGGAATGTGTGATATGGGTGTGGATACCAGGGAGTTAGGCTTATGAGGGAAAATAAGACATTGCCAAGAAACCTTGGACATGTGATTTTGGCTGTACTTACACATCTCAGCTCCAAATAACTGAGTCAGATAGCCATCCTCCTCAAAAATCTATAGAAGGCAGCAATGACAATACAAAATTCTACTTATTATTAAGAACCGACACCCTCCTTTGATGGTTTTGACAATGCATGATATGAGAGGTCATGGTAATCTAATTTCTGGGCCACACAGCTTTTTAGGCAAACAGATTTCTGGGCTTCACTCTGTGATTCTGCTTCAGAAGATACAAAGCAAGATCCAGGAATCTAAATGTTTAATATGCTCCCCGGTTACCTTCTGGGCTTCTGGAGATCCATAACCAAGATTTAGAGCAATCAAAGAAAGCAACTCCCCTACCCCATTCTGTCTTTTTTCTTTTGAAGAGCTATTTTTAAACTATTCAGTTGGCAAATGTATTTGAGTACCCAATATGGGCATACAGTATGTATAAGACTAAGGAGGACCCTTTTATGGAGCATATAATCTTCTGTTATCCAAATAACTTGGGTTTAACTTAATCACAGACCCTCACTATAGGAAAGACCATGAAAGGTTAATTTGATCCAGTGCCCCAAGGTAAAGAAACTTAATTTTTTTCAAGGGTCCATTTACATGTGGCTTTTTCCAATCCAGAAACGGTATTTGTAAAATATGTGACACATGTATACCATGGACTGACTTTTCCTGTACTTGCATTCCACAAAGTGATGGTGAGACTTGAGTATGCAAGGCTTTTGATATCAGTGAGGGTGCTCAAACCAATCCCCAGTGGACCCAGGGTTGACTATACATGGAATCCTAACCTATGATCATTGAATGCATCCACATTTCCTGTCCTCAGTGGGTGAGGCCATCTTGACTGTTGGAAAGTTCTCTCCTAGCCAGCCCATTGGACAACACATCTCCCACCAGCCTTACATATGGAAGTCACTGTGGAGATCTGATATGGGATTGGGTGTTAACACCAGTTGGTTATGTCTATCACATATTTGTAATTATTGTGTATCTCATTAGTAAAACTGAATATTACATGGCCCCAACTAAGCTTAGAGCCAATGTTTACCTTTATGTTAGGATTATTCAAAGCAGAGAGGAGTCCCAATATATTGCATTATCTCACCCAGTTTACTCTGTGGAAACCAGAAAGAGCTGAGCAAATTTACACTGGAATTGCTCAAAAGGTTGGTGTATATTTCTGAACAAGATGTACAAATATTTTTAGGGGTTTTAAAAATAATGTGTCATATTTTCTATACTCTTCTTAGGAACAGTGTCAGTGAAGAAAATAGATGGATTTTGACACATGAGGTCTAGTCGGGTTGTTTTTTTGAGGTTGAAATATTAAAAGCAAAACGTACCTGTGGTGAAGTAAAGGGTATATTTGTTTTCTATCAGTAAAAAAGGAAGTACTCAGAATGTTGTTGTAAATTATATTCTATTAACAAAGCATCTTTATTTTGCTACCTGTTGATATGACAAGTGAATACCAGCATATATCTTAGAACTTTATAATATGTATATACATTTCCCTTTTTGTTTAATAAAATAGTATGGAAAGTTGTCAAATGCAAACGCATGTATATTGTTGGGGGGAAGCATTACAGTAAAAACATGATTTGAATTGTTTGTATTATTAATCAACTTGTTTATTTCTATTCATTTCATGTGATTTTTTTGTTTATTTATTAGACCAAATAGTTTAAGATTTGTTATAAAAAAGGTCTTTCCTTTTTTTTAGGCTTTTAACTTTTATTTTTGAGAAGTAAAGGCTGTAGAATTGACAAATTTGAATAACCCTAAAATTGCATGAAGAAGAGATGTTCTTAAAACCACACGGCATGACTCTGTAGGCAATGTTAGAGTATTTTGGCATTCATTGTTGAATTTTGTGCACACGTTTTAGTTTATTTCATTTTTAATTTGCATGTCAAGAAAGTGGTTCCCTTTTTTTTCTCGTTATTTCATTTTATTCTCTGTGAAGACACTGTACATTTATTTTGATCTCATTTTCTTTTCGTTAGATTTATTTTCTTCCGTAGTGACATTTAGAAAGGTATTTTTGGTATCCTTCTTTGAATTCTTCAGGGGTTACAGCTAACTGGTGACAGAAAAAAAATCTTGTTCACATTTGTCGCTTAATTATTGCACATCTTAGTACTCTTATAATTTCTCTAATTTGCATGTTACAGAACTGAAGCCAGGACAAGAAATAGAAATTAAAGCGAGAGAACATTACAAAGTGGTCGTTGACTGAAATAATAATCTGCATGTTGTTTTCCCTTCTCCCTCCTGCATGCAGGGATTTGGTTTCGTAACTTTCGAAAATAGTGCCGATGCGGACAGGGCGAGGGAGAAATTACACGGCACCGTGGTAGAGGGCCGTAAAATCGAGGTGCATGTTCAAAATATTTTCCTTTTCATCTTTTTTATAAATGTCTGCTTCACGCTCATTCGTTGTTCCAGAAGCATCATTGGCGTCTTGTATGTGATCCTTCTCCCTCTCATTGTTTATATATATATATATTTATATATAAAAAGGAAAACTGGCCTTACTTTTTTTTCATTTTACTTTATTATGTTACTCTTATTACTGCTGAAAGGTGGATGGCAAAAGTGAGACAAAAGAAAGGTTAATTGGAAGAGGTTTTTTTAATTATTATTATTATTTTCCATGTTTTAGAGTCAATGGGTGCAGTAGGTTCCAACGAACAGACAGTGTTACAAACCAAACAAAATACAGAACAGTTTATTTTTCTTTCCACTTCAGAGTTGAAGAGGGATCCACAGTGGTTTGCAAATTAAACCAAATTGTGATGAAGATTTGTTTTTGGTTTTTTTTTTAAATGAGAGGTTTTTGTCATTAAACCTTTCATTTTTTTTTTTTTAAAGAAGCCAGTTGGAATTTCTGTATTCTTTTGATCATCAAGTGAATAAGCAAACAGGATTTCCTGTTCACTATCTGGCCCCTATTCATTAAAGCAGAAATACCCAAATTCTGACACTCAGAGTCTATTGTTTGTGCCACTGGGATCTCCCTCAACATAGCCACAGGGTCATATTTGTTAAAACTTAAAAAAAAAAAAAAACCAGTTAAAATGCTTTAGTCTTTGGAGTAAGATGTTGCATATTTTGCCTTTCATTTTCCCCCTTCGACGATAACGCTTAGGCCCCTCACCAAACTCTCAGTAACCATGGTAACTGTATACAAACCCATGCTGGCGATGGTGGTGAATGGTAAGTGGTGAAGTCCATCTGCCGTTTCACGTATTTAGTGCTGATATATCTATATACATATATATACCACGTGAATTTTTTTGACTTGTCGTATTAAGTTTTCTTGATGCTCTATTTTTTTGGATATTGGTACGCCTGTAATTGAGTGTACGTTCTAAGCTAGCCTGGGAGGCACTGACTGGATTGAGTTATGACCGGTGCACATCTTACTCAGATTGTTAACTCCATATTGTGTTAAACAATGCACCCTCTCTTTTATCCTTTTGTTAGCTGTGACTTTAAAGCTTGAATGATTTTGTTAATTCTTGCGATGTAAAAGGCTCTTGTTCCAAGTGTTGAATGCTAGATGTTGCTTTCCCAATGGTTCTTCCCTCCTAAAGTGTTGCACACTGCTAAAATTTGTTTGTCCTTTTTTTTGACATTTATGTTCCCTTGTACCTTGTCTCCTCCCTCTTCTCCACTGCATGTTCCTTCATATGAACTTTATTTTCATTTAAAAAATATTTATTGTTTCTGTGTTACCATGGAGTACACGCATGCTTTTAAATCTTCAATTATGCAGTATCTTTTAATTTGCTTTTATTGTCTCTTTATTAAACTTTTAATGATATGACATTGCTTTAGTGAAATGATTTGTAAGTTAAAATGGTTATGAAGTAAATGTAATTTTTAAAATGTATGATTTTGTTATGCACCTACTGCCTTTTATAACTTAAAATGCATTTTAGTTTGTAGTTTTTTTTTAATAAGTAATCACAGTCATAATGCATGCAATTAATTGAATTGTGAGCCGGCCCTCGAATATGTGCTCATTTGAGTTTTCTATGTACATAGGTAAATAATGCCACAGCACGTGTAATGACAAATAAAAAGACCGTCAACCCTTATACAAATGGTAAGTAGAGATTGGTCTTTTACAAGACATCACTTCTCTCTCTGAATCTATTAAGTGTTATAACCAGGGAATCTGTTTCAACATGCCATGTTTGCCTCTGCGTGGCTACTGTGTCCTTGCTCCTGGCCATGCTACAGTGAACCACTTAAATCAATAAGATAATTTTCACAACAAAGGCAAATTTAGTTTCCAGGTGAAGTGTGCATGCCCTTTCTGTCTCCAGAATAACTCCCATTTGTAATTGAGATGCAGTCATTATTTAAGAATTGGTTGGGCAGTTTAATTTGTTGTTATAGGGAGTTGAGGGAAGGATGGAGGCTTTGTTTGTTTTTTTGCCACCATCTTCTCCTTGGTCACTAATTACTCTCAGAAATGTGACCACATAATTTAGTTCTGACTTTGAGTCTTCTCTTGAGATCTTGGGCATTTGAAGTGCTTTGGAGGGTACCCCATGACTGAGTTCCACAGGGTTAGCAGCAGATGTCAGTGGTTTCTGTGTTCCTCTCTGGGTTGCCTTGTGTTCTTTTGTTCCTGGTGAAAATATTTCTTTGTATTGCAGACCACCAGAATGATACAATTCAGCCCTTACTAACTGATAAAACTTCTCAAAGATACTCTGAAAAAAAATCCCACAAAAATGGGAAGAGCTTATAAAAATACCTATCAGGTACAATGTTCATTATTTGGAGAATAGGGACACCAGAAGCCTAATCCCCACCAGTACACAGTATACCCCCATAGCAGACAGGCACCTGTACCCCCAAATCTAAAATAAGAAAAAAAATAAAGTACAATAATAAAGCGTAAAAAAAAAAAAGAAATAGTTGCACAACAAAGAGTCTACTTAGAAAAGAAAAAAAATTAAAATATTTTAATCCTCAAAATCTTTTAAGACCTATGGAGGAAAAATCTGCTGCTATGCTAATCATACTTAATTTTACCAAAAACTAAAGAGAAAGTAATGCACTAATTTGAAATACATACACTTAGTAGAATATACTCTCAATATAATAGGGTTCTAAGGTGAATGACCAGAAGAATTATTTATTCTGCCAATCATCTTTCTCAGCTCCAATAGCCCAAGACATACCCTTAAATGGTATAGACCATTTCTACAACAGACTTTGAATGCCCAGTGCTGAAATTAAAAAATACCCTCCGATTTATGTGTGATGAAGTTTTTCTACTTGAGTAAAAATAATAGCTCTGACACTTGCCAGATTTAATATGTGATGGTGTCAGACTGAGTGTTGAACATATCCTCTAATTATGAAGTTGTACAGGTGCTCAGACACAGGTGTGCCTGCATGCGAATGCATAGGTGCTGTGTGTGCTGAGTCAGAAAATGAAGCAAGGAAAGCCAAATATTATTCCTTAAGCCATATATATATATATACTTTTTTTAAAAAATAGGAGTCCCTGTCACCCAGGCTGGGGTGCAGTGGCATAGTCACGGTCACTGCAGCCTCAACATACTGGGCTCAGGTGATCCTTCCACCTCAGCCTTCCAAGTAGCTAGAACTACAGGCATGCACCACCATGCCTGGCTAATTTTTCTTGATTTATTGCAGAGATGAGGTCTCTCCAAGTTGCCCAGACAAGTCTTGAACTGCTGGGCTCAGACAATCCTCTCGCCTCCGCCTCCCAAAGTGTGTATAATTATTTTAAATAAAGAGTTATGGATTGTGGGGAGACAGCCCACAGAATGGGAAACAAACAAACAAACAAAGCAACAACAACAACAAAAAAAAGTTATTGAACAGTGTCATCCCCAGGGACTAAGAACTAGACCTGTAGGATTTTTTGACACAATTCAAAGCCCATTCATACATCACCAATGTTCCTAGAACACTGTGCATATGTTATGTGAAACATCTCAAGTACCCTGGACCTAAATGAAGTAATGAAGTCCTGCAAAGAGGACATTGTTATTTCTAGTACAGAGATGCAAACTCTGAGACTAGATGAGATGAAGTAATTAACAAAGACTTTGTTTTTTATTATGAAGTGACAAAATCTTGTCGCCATGCCTGTGTGTGTATCAGTCATCACTTTCCCTTTGTCATCTTGCAGAACTGCATTCAAATGGCAATCGGCTACAGTTACAAAAAAGAGTTATTAAACGTGCAACCTCCTGCTCCTGCCAGATGCTTGCATAAACATCCCGTGTCCCATGCTAGGTAGCCATGCATTCTAATTTTTAAGGAGTAAGTCATGTAGGGCTCTCCTCCATGTTCCTGAAAAGGGGTACTCAGGATTATTTCTGTCATGCACACTGAGTATGGCATTTAAGGGGTAGATGGGCAGTAACAGTAGAACCGATTTTCAGAAAACAAATGTTAATCCTAATTACATAAAGACTGTGGCTTCTATAGTGGAGATTATGAAGAACTTTGGTTTTCAAGGAAAAGTAGTTATCAAAGTTTTTCCAAGTTTTAGAAAATACTCATAACTTGTGAGTCTTGCCATTACCAATAAAGTTTCCCATAAATTGCAGTGCATTATAACTGAAAAAATATGGGACCCTTTCAAATCCTTAACAAGATGATATATACAAGAGGATAAGTAAGGAACAAGAAAGTCACACTGAAATGAGAAAATTAAGTAACCACATGACTTACTCCATGAAGCTAAGAATGCATGGCTATGGCACGGGACATGGGGTGTTTATGCTAATATCTGGCAGGAACATGAGACTACCCCTTTAATAAGGATAAGTCAAGTGCAATAAAGTCACACTGAAATGAGAAATTAAGAAGTTCACCCATTGGCTACATAATTTATTCTTACAAAGTATAGAAATTATGCTTCAGCAAAATTATGAATTACTAGAGATATCAAATTTTGAAATCATCTCCAAATGGTGAAATGTAGCTATCAGTGCCAGCATCATTTTCATGCATTGCGTCAGTCATGTATCCAACACAATTTTAGCAGCTGCAAAGTTTCCAGTGATGATTAAGCCTGAATTCTAATTGTCTAGGAGGTTCTACTCTGGAGGACTACAGTTAATAACTCATGGAGTATGTAGATTCAATTCCTAGGAAATCAAAACATGGACATGAGAAAAAGCTGTAGAATGGAATTGAGGCCTCTGGACATTCTACCTGTCACGAAGCTCCACAAAGAGGGAATTGGGCTCTTTCTGTTGCTATTTCTCCCAAAGACAGCTATCTACTCAGAGGAGTTAGGGTCCACTGTGCTTTTTGGAGACCAAATGTTGAATCTGCAAAACAAGGTTGAGAATGGATTTGCATGGATTTCCTGGATATTGAGGAAACATGGGTGTGGGACATGGCTTTTTTTTATCTTCTCAGAGATTTTAGAGAGGATGAAAACCGGACAAAATATCCAAGACTACAGACAGATACAGACTTTGTTCCCAGTATCAGTTTTGCCATTCACTGACTGTTGAACTCTAGGCAAGTTGTTTAAACTTTCCACACGCATTTTCTCAAGTGAGGACTATACAGAAAATGAGACCTAAATCACAGATATGTGTGATAATTATGGGATATAAAGTCCTCAAAACAATGCTAGGTATACAAAGTACCCTATCATATTGTGCTACTATTTATAGCCTGATATTATTTAATTACACAATAACATCAATATTAAGTAGTTATATTATTATTTTTTGTTGTACGTAGCAAAATTTCCCAATAGACACTAGTTTAAGGATCAAATATTCAGATGCTAACAGGGGAAAAGCAGGTAAAATAAATAAGCAAGCAGAGAGGATCTGAGAAACTCAGTCTTTTGTTTTTTTACTGAGTAAAGCAAAATATTTCTCTACTAAAAAATAAAACAAAGCCAACAAACAAATAACAAGCACAAAGTCACAACAAATGGTTTGTAGACATTTGACCTCCCAGTCAGGCACACAGTAGGGAGCAGCAGTGACTGTGACTACCTGAGGAATTAAATACAATAGCATCCAGCCACCTTTAATAAATCTGTCTGTGGTCGATTCTTACCTTAAAGTTGGCATTTCTACTAATGTTTTTTGAGAGCCAAAAATCCTATAGTTTAGCTGAAGGGTAAATGTTGGCAATAAATATATGCTGATAAAAAAAAAGACTGAGTGAACCAAAACAAAGCATATGTGTACACATTGTGTACATCACTTCTTTTCATTTGGTGTTTGGAATTTGCCTCCTGCATGATTTCAGCTACCAGATCTCTGGTGTCTCTTAGTATGTGCCTTTAGGAAGCATTTACAGGCAGTTTATGCACCCCTTGTATGGTATATGAGGGTACTCTCTGGAATGTGATTCTTTGATATCCAACCCAGCAAAGCCCTAGAAGAAGGCATGTTCTGATTTGTGTACATGTGCACATTCAAACTTGTCTTTTAACACCCAAGACAACAGCAATCTTGACCAGCATTTTTGTGAAAAAGGCTGCCACTTGACCTTTGACAAGCTATATTTAGGGAGGGTAGTGCTGATTTGGATGCAACCCCTCAAGGCCTGGCCACAGAAAGTTCTCACTAAACTGCTCATGTGTCTGATATAGAGCGAGACCCCAATGTGTCTAGTCTCTGCTCCATTGCCTTGTGTACAGGGGGCCTTGGGAGACTGGAAGCGGTGGGCTTTATCAGCTGTTCTCCTTTCGTTGTAAGCCTCATTGTTCAGTTTAATGTCCTTGATCAAAATCTCTGAATTTGCAAGGCCTGGGGACGTACACAAACTGCCTAAGAAATTAAAAATGGGATCATTGTGTTCATCTTCCTGACAGTGCAGCTCTTATCTCCAGCAGGGTTATCCCAAGGGTCTCTTCCAGGTATTAGAAGGAGTCACAGGGACCGTGGGTTCATTTGCATGCTATTTGCATATATTTACATAAACCTGCATGAGCTCCAAAAGTCTGAGTGGAGGTGATTTTCATAGCCAGATTCTAGACCAAATGGACATAATAGACATTTATAGAACATTTTATCCAAAAACTGCCGAATACGCATTTTTTTTGTCAATGCATAGAACATTCTCCAGGATAGACCATGTGTTAGGCCGCAAAACAAGCCTCAAAAATTTTTTCGAAAGTGGAAATCATATCAATTATCTTCTCAGACCACAGTGGAATAAAAGTAGAAGTCAATCATAAGAAGGGGCCGGGCTCATATCTGCAATCCCAGCACTTTTGGGAGACTGAGAGGGGAGAATTGCTTGAGGCCAGGAGGTTGAGACCAGCTTGGGCAGCATAGTGAGATCTCATCTCTTCAAATAATAATAAAAAATAATAACTGTTAAAAAATAAGTTTGAAAACTGTATAAATACATGAAAATTCAGTAACACGTTCCTGAATAACCACTGGGTCAATGAAGAAATTAGGAGGGAAAGCAAACATTTTCTTTATATAAGTGAAATTAGAAATACAACATACCAAAGCCTATGGGATATAGCAAAATCAGTGCTAAGAGACTAAGAGGGAAGTTTGTAGCAATAAACACCTACATCAAAAAAGCAGAAAGATTTCAAATAATCAAAAGGGAGGGCAGTCATTCCTAAGAGGATCCTTTGTTAGATGTCTAGCGTATATGAGGAAGTAGGTCCTCGCAGGTTGAAAGGAGACTCAATCCTAGCCAAAAGTTTATTAGAAAAAGCTCTATATTCTTTTAGTTCCTTTAGAGGAAAACCAAGTCAATGTTAATGGAGTGCCTACTGTTTGTCAAACATTAGGTACTGCAGGTTCATATCAGACAGCAGTCCTGCCCACTTAACCATTAATTTTAATGAGAGAGAATGGTTATAAAAAACAATTAAGAGCAAGCAAAGAAATATAGAAGAAGCCAGGCTCGGTGGCTCAGCCTGTAATCCCATGCCTTTGGGAGGCTGAGGTGACTGGATTGCCTGAGCCCGTGGGTTCGAGACCCACCTGGGCAAATTGGTGAGACCTCATCTCTACAATAAATCAAAAAATTAGCCGGGCATGGTAGTGCACACCTGTAATTCCGGCTACTCGGAAGGCTGAGGCGGAAGGATTGCTGGAGCCCAGCAGGTCGAGGCTGCGGTGGCCAGGAGTGGCCACTGTACTCCAATCTGGGCAACAGAGTGAGACTCCAAATCTTAAAAAAAAAAAGAAAAAGAAATATAGAAGATAAATCCAGAGAGCAGTAACAGCTATGCAGAAAATAAAACTGGGAATGGAATGAAAGAGTAACTCTAAGAAGAGGCGGAAAGGGATATTAAGTGGCATATTCTGAAAAGGCACTAGAGACTTAAATAACAACAAGTCAACTTTGTGAAGCTCTGGGGAGAGTTTTCCAACCAGAGGGAGCAGTAGGCATAAGAAGACCTTAATATAGAATGATTGGGTAGTTTTATACACATGAAAAAATGCCATTTCACTGTACCTGGAAGAGAAGGGGACAGTGATACCAAATACCCAGACAAGGATTAGATTGTTTGGGCTTCTTGACTAAGGTAAGAAATTTTATTTATTCTAAGTTCAGAAGGAGGATATATTTGATTTACTTGTTAAAAACTGTTTTGGCCACTATGAACAGAATGGATGGTGGAGGGAGAAAAAAAGGAGTAAGATGTGTTGGTGAGAGGGCATTTTTGCTGTAGAACTTGTCTAGGCGGAGATGGGAGTACCTTGGTCTGTGATGGTGGCAATAGAGAAGCAGGGAAGAATTTTGCAAAGTGCAACCAATGATATTTTCTAATGGATTGTACATTGGGCATAAGGGTAAGGGAAGAAGCAAGGTAATTATTGATCAATAATTTCATTTTGAGCAACCAGGTGGACGGGATGCTGTGTGCAAGGGGTAAGGCTTGGCGAGTCATAGATTTCATGAGTAGAGGGTCCTATGGTTTATAAAGGTCTTTGGTTTCCCTGTGGGGAAGCTTTGTTTAGGAGAAAAGATCCAGAATGGGAAGAAGGTTAATATCTACACTGATGTTCTCATGATGACCTGAGCAGACTCATTTCATTCCCAGTTGGTTTCTTGCAAAGGAGACCTTCTCAATGATCTCTCAATTAATACTTGCAGACATGAAATGGCAATGATCTTCTGATGAGAAAAAGTGTCATTTAATTTCTATTATTTTTATATTGAGTGAAAATTTGCCGTGGACTTGGCAAATTGATAGATAATCGGCACATAGTTAGATAGACAGGTAAATAGATAAAAACAGTAGATTATAGATGGATAGACCAATGATAGGTATATTTGCATAGAGGTAGATAGGCAGATAGATTTAGATAGACAGTAGATAATAGATGTATAGGCAGTTAGATGAAAAATAGGTAGATTTAGATAGAAAGTAGTTATGTGATAGATGGAAAGGCAGATAGATGATAGATTTAGATAGATAGGCAGATAGATAATAGGTAGATAAATAGACAGTAGATAGATACATAATAGATGATAGATTGGGAGGCAGGTAGATAGAAGATAGATAGATAGATAGATAGATAGATAGATAGATAGATAGATAGATAGATAGATAGATAGAATGAATCTTGGTGCAAGGAAGTGGGGAAGATAAAAGCAGACGAGAGAAACACAATTTCTAGACAGTCTTAGAAGCCTCTGAGAAATCCTTGTTTTTTGTTTTTTGGGTTTTGTTTTTTTTTTTTAACGAAAGGCCATTGGCATACTTTACAGTCTTGCTGAGCTACATCAAAATTGATAGATACACATTCAGTGAAAAGAAAAAGATAGTCTTGCATGCAAAATGGATTATTTAAGAAAGTTAAGAAGAACATATACAATAAACAAAACCTGAGTTGAAGTGTATGAAAAAGGTACCATCTCCACTACCCATAAAATGTAGGCGTGGAAGAAGGAAATGAGATGGGAAACTGAGGGAAAATGAAGAGAAGTCATCACTTAATAATTATCTACTAAATATGACTCCATTTAGGTTTAGTTCACAAATTTTAAATTTGAAATTTGAAAAACTAGAAAGAAAGAGAACACTAAATATGTCTTCATCTTTATTTTCATGTAGTTTGCTCTATTTTTTTTTGAGTTGGAGTCTCACTCTATTGCCCAGGTTGGAGTGCAGTGACACACTCACGGCCACTGCAGCCTCAACCTGCTGGACTCTGGTGATCTTTCTGCTTCAGCATTTCAAGTAGCGGGAACCACAGGCTCGTGCCACCATGCCCGACTATTTAAAAAAAATTTTTTTTATTGTACAGACAAGGTCTTGCCGAGTTGCCCAGTCTGGTCTCGAACCCCTGAGCTCAGGCAGCTTCTCCCCTCCACCTAGTGCTCTACTTTTTTAAAGACTCTAAATGACTTGAAATGTGGACACTAGTTCCCATGTCTTTGGAAATTGGGCATTTTCTTTTTTAGAAAGCAGTGGAATTTCAGTTGGTCAAGTTGAAGTCATTTTCCACATTGATAAAACACATATTCTGAAATGTCTAAAGTATTTTTTTTAACATCACTATAGAAATTCTGATAAGGCAAGATGCAATTCAAGACAAGAAGGTGTCAATATCAAGTTCCAGAAGCTGCTGGGGCAATATGTCTCAGAATTTCATGTTTCCTTCTGTAGATCTAAAAATGGGGCCCAGGAATTTCCCATTTATATGCCTCCCAGGTAATTCAAGTATAACACTTTGAAAACCCCTATTCTAAGATCACCTAGCAAGCTGTAAACCACCTAGCTTATTCAAGTTGGAAGTGAAAGTTTTAAAAACAAAACATTCTTTAGAAAGTTCTGAATTTCAATAGACTTAATGGCCTGTCTGTTGAGTTGGTGATGCTCTGTGTTCCTTAGTGGCATTGTGGGTCTCAGGAATACCTTTAGCTGTTCTTAGAGACACATACTTCTCCTTTCTGAGAAAACCTCAGATAGTTCTTTTGTTTTTTGGGTTTTTTTAGAGACAAGGTCTCACCAAGTTTCCCAGGCTGGTCTTGAACCTCTGGGCTTAGGCAATCCTCTCTCCTCGACCTTCCAAAGTGCTGGGATTACAGGCGTGAGCCACCACACCCAGCCCAGATAATTCTTAATGTCAAAAATACTTTCCTTCACATTCAAAGTTTTACCATTGCCTTTTCTCAGAAACATTCATTAGAGGACCTTTGGTGTTTGACCATCAGCACAGGGTCTAAGGGCAAGACCACACACCTACCCTCCTGTGTCTTGCAAGAATTCTGAAATAGATGATCTTATAAAGGCTTAGCAGCAGGAGCAGAAAATAGTCACAAAACCCTAAAATGTGATTATTCTCTGGCTATCATTTCCTAAATAATGCCCAATGTGTCTGTGATGTGCTTTCCAATGTGTGAATATTCTTGTATGCTTTTTTTGTGAGTAAAAATTTCTATAGGGCCAAGGTTCATTTTACAGAAAACTCTCCATCCAGAACATTGGGAAAATTACAGAATTCTATTAATCTTATATGCAGGTTATTTGAAAGTTACCTTAGATATCAAGCATTGATTAAGAACTTTTACAGTTCCTGAATGCATTAAAGTATATTCCACAGTAAGTGTCTAGGGGCTAAAATATCATTTTCATGGGGTTCACACCACAATTTGGAATTCTCCAGTATTTCGGGCTCATAATTAGGAATGACAATTGTCAGAGTATGTTGCTGCAAAGAATTTTGTTTATGCAGGCTTTCAAGTTTTTGTGAACTTAATGCAAAGGGACATGATGGATGATCTAGCAGTGACATATGAAATAAGACAAAACATTGAAATTATTATAGTGGCTGTAAAAAATATCGATATGGTAGAAAATTAATTACCATGTCATTTTCAAAAGGTTCACCTGTGGCTGATCAAGAATTTCCATACCATTAACTTTCATTGGCAGCAAATCAAAGAAGGGCATAAATCCATCATCTTATGTATAGTTTTAAAATGTCTTTATGCATGCCCAAACTACATATCCTTTACATTTTAAAATACAAAAAAAACCCCACAAAAACCCTTCAACCATCTGTTTTGCAGTTGATTTGCTATAAGTTGTTGAATCAAATGTGATAATAATGTTTTTGTATATTTATTTTAAGGCTGGAAATTGAATCCAGTTGTGGGTGCAGTCTACAGTCCTGAATTCTATGCAGGTAAAGAGTTTCTCTTTGCACGATGTCTTCTTGGTCTCTTCTAAATGTGCTTTGCCTGCCAGCAAACAATCCGTTTTGCAAAATAATCTAAACCAAAGGAATTCCATCCTCCCAAGTTCTGAATGATTTCTTTGGGCAAAACCAAAAGGTTTAAAACACTTGAAAATGTTAATGGGAATCATGAAAGTTACATTGTGGGGTAAATGTGGAGCCACTGCTTCTGAAGATATTTCACATTGAATTTTTGCCCTAAAAAAGCATTGAGACTTCTTTGTTCAATAGCATATTGAACAAATGGAGAGTTGTTCATGTCCATTTTATTTCAATGTGCCTGAATGTGTCTTTCAGCCATACATTTCCATTGGGGTTGCGTTTTCTTTTTTCTGGCAAAGCAGAGAGTTGGCTTAATTACTTCAATAATGTGGCAGTGATTTGGAATTGCCAAGAGAAGGGTTATTTAGAAAACTAAAATAAAATGATGTTGTCTTCCTTTCTCCATTAATTAATTTCCCTTAGCAATTCCATTTCTCTCTACTTTGCCTTCAAGGACGTCTCTGTCCAAACTGTTTCCTGCCTAATGCACCAACTACCCCTCAACTGGGAAATCTATTCATTTAGAAAACTCAGTTACCACATTTTTGGAGAGCATAACCCAGAAACAATGGTGGCTGGGATTTCCTGTCTTGACATACGTGGCTTGGCCTGTCACTACTGTCTGTGTCTCCTTGCTCATTACCCAAGGCTGCATTGAACACCTAGAACATTAGTGGTAAATTTGCCAAATGGATATTGAAAAGAAATCTTTCTTTGATGTGGCTTTTTAATAAGGAGAAATAAATAACCATGTGATCCAGAACCACTCACGTATGGCCTCTTGACGGTAAGCCATAGCCCTTGCTTTGTTTTTTTCTGGGTTGCCTAATTTCTGCCATCTTCCTGATGCTAGGCATTGACCCTAGTAGATGAGAAAGGAACATGGAAAACTTAACTACTCTAACACAATAACCAGTCTGATTAAAACATTTAAAAGTGTGGGAAATTAGGGAAGTCTCAGTATGATAGCTGAGGTCTGGGGGTTTTAGGTAGGCAATATTTGCAGTTCTTCTTCAAGTGTGAATTTTACCAGGAGTCTGGGATCAATCCAGGGATTCTACCACTGCAAAATAGCTGGATTGACTTTTAAGAAGGTGAAGAGACTTAGCTATAAGGCTTTTCATGATTTTATCGTGGACCCTACTTCCTGAGAGGACACTTGTGCTGAGTAAGGAACATGAAACTGCGCCCAGACAGTTCATGTTCAAATCCTGGCTCCCCTGCTTACCAGCAGTGTGACTCTGGGCAAGTTACTTAACCTCTCTGTGCCTCAATTTCTCGATCTGTTAAATGGGGATGACTAACAAACTCATAAGTGTTTATTAGAATTAAATGGCTTAATATATAAAGAGTGTTTGGTGCATAGCCAGCACCACATGAATGGTAAACATTTGGTACATTTTTAAAAGTTAACATTTCACCTCTCTGCCATAAAGGGAAAATTAGCCAAGAGCTGACTGTGCTAAATTCTGAGCATATGATTAGGCTAAGAGATTATTTTCTTCGTTCAAGAGATAATGAGTCCTTTAGTTCTCAGTGTGTTTATTTCTGGGATCAGGGGCATGGCAGTGTGTTCAGGGGGCACATGAAATTTGGCACTCAGTGATGGAGTATGTCCTTGTGCAAAACTGGAAGGAATAACATCCCGCAAATGGTCCAAGAGAAAAATGGGACAGCAGCTTCCTTGCCTCTGTAGCTCTGCCTGTGAAACAGAGTAGATGAACTAAAGAAACGGCAGATTGTGTGAGTGCTTACATCAGCATACATGTTTTTGCCCCAAAATCATGGGGTCAAGAACAAGAGTCTTCCCGTGGCGTAGAGTATGGATGTGCCTTGTGGTGAAGAGAGGAAAATGCATTTTTCTGGTCCCAGGTGATGTAGTTGATGACCATCCTTAGGTCTGTTAACCAAAAAAACATCAAGTATCTTCTTTACTTGTGCCTGCATTGTCACGTGTGTATCCATGAATGTTTAAGAGGACATTAAGTCAGGGGATGGAGTTCAGATCGACTTGTACATACAAGAATCAATTTATCTGCATGCTTTCTAGAACATGAGAGCAATATTCAGATTAGCCCAGGGCCTAGCCTCAGACGTTGGATCATTAGGCTACAGGAAGAGAATAAGTTATAATAAGGGTTAATATTTACTGGATACTTTCTATGGGCCAGGCACTGTTCTAAGCCCTGTAGGTAAATTTAATGTATTTAATCCTCATGGCAATTTTTGAAATGATGAAACTAAAATACTAAAAATTGGTATCACTGATCTGAGATTTCTCAGGTAGTTAGGAGTACAGGCCAGATCTTGAAGGCAGACTTCAAGCATCCCAGAGCTGTATTCTTTACAAACAGGTTATACAGTCCCTTTATTTTTTTAAAATAAATGTTTAAAGCCGTAATTCCTACCGATTGTGCCTTATGATCATGCTATTGCTCTGTGTCCAAACCAGTGAAATTAAAGAAGTAGCATACTTTTTCTAGACTATTCCAGCCCTGCCACCATATTCATATGTGTCCATTGGTTGTACAGGGAAGTTTTAAGGGGCCTGGACAAAGATTAATTTTTGAGCTGATCCAATGAACTTAAGTCTAAAAAAAAATGCAGCATGGAAAAAGCAAGTGCTATTTGAGAAATCTGAGTATCTGTGTTTTATGCTGCCAATATCGATTATCCCAAATAACTGTATGCTTTCTCCTTTCGCCTATATATTTGTGCATATAGGTAGACAGAGTTCATGATATTTAGAAATGTGGAGAAATGTTGCTGCAATTTCAACACTCCAGAGCAATTCCTTTTAAATATTTGAAGACCCACAAACACTGAGAGCCCAGCTGCCCTAAATCTAAATTTTCAGGCACCTGTATCTATGGAGTGGATCTATGCAAAGATATAGATATAGAAAGCATTCATTTCCATATCCAGGTATAATTATTCATGTCATCCATCTATATATCCATGACTAAGAATTCATGGGGCATTTAAAATTTCCCCAGCTATAAAAATAGACTGGATTTATCTTGCAATTTTGAGTGTGCCTCAAAGCTGAAATGAAGACCTTGTCATTGATTTGCCTTGGATATATAATAAGCCAGCTCTGTATCTGCCTAAGATAGAAAGGCAGACATATTAATCATTTCTCCATATAAGACTTTGTGTTAATGACAAATTTCGTAATATTCCCCTAGTATAATTATTGATTTTTCTGAAGCTTATGCAGAATTAACAACCCAGCCTCCAATTGTCTCTCAAAATGGGGCATGAAAAGTTCACATATTTAGTAAATTAAAATCAATATTTTCAATCTCTCCTAAAGGTAATTTTCCTAATTTAGTGGACTTTTCCCTAACATTTATTTTCTCTTTTAATTATAAAATGGCAAGTTATTGATTTTAGTATATAACCTCTTGATGCCCCGAGTGCATTTTTATTGCTAACGCAGGGCGGGGGTGGGAAGAGTCATTGCAGTTCTTAATGAGGACCTTTAATTACTAGCTGAACAGTATTAATTTGCTTTGATAAATTATGACATTCCTTCTCCCTCACACATACATTCTAGGGGCAGCATTTAGAAAGCTCTTATACAAAGTCTTTCATTTTGGACAACTTTTTTCTTTTTTCTTTTTTTTCCTGAATTCTTATCAAGTCATACTTGTAAGAACTCTTTTAAATGCTTATTCAGTACCAGTCTCCAGAGTACATATACATAAATCAGTATATTCCATGAACATATATAAATCAACTCCAAAGAGAAATGGATGTTTTTCTATAAAGCTAAACAGCATTGATTATTTTTCCTAAGTCTAATCATCTTCAGACTCCCTGAGGCTTATTCACAAGGCAAATGATTGATAAGACAGTTAACAGAAAAGAAGTCCAGGTGTGTCTTGAAGACTTTGGCCAGTATCTCTGGCCGTTTCACTTTAGAGTTTAAGTCAAGTTAAAGGCACTAAATAGAAGTAGAATATCTGTAAACACCTTCATCCTGTAGCATGCCTCCATTTAATAGTGTAATTAAAAATGGTGTTTCCAAGAATCTGGATGAAGAGACTTAACAGGGAATTCTTATACTTCAGCTGTCAGTGTGAGAAGTTCCCTTGTCTTCTAATAAAAATGTTCATTTAAAAAAGTAGTGTCTTTAGAGATAATCACAATATCTAGTCAATGAAACTGTTGATTTAAAGCACCTTTAATCTTCAAAAATAAGTAAAGCAAAATAAAAATAAATAACAGAAGGCTGTACAAAGTTGTCAGCATGGTACTGACAAATGGCAAATTTATCTGTTTCTCAATTGCCAGTAAGATACACACTGTAAAGCTCACGCACATTGTATATCATATCTTCCAACTCATTTCTGTGATTAAATATTCTATCAGTGGGGCTAGAAGGCAGCAGAGCTTAACAAGATTCATAAGATGCACCACTTGAACACACATAACTCACTTCCATGGATAGAGAGCACCCCTGCCTGCAAAGGAAAATTGGAATTGAATTAAGTTACTCCATGAGACACGATCAATAGGGAAAGGAAAAGATCTTCTAATGAAATGCAGATCTAAGATATAGTTAGGTCCCGATGACAAGAAACATACAATTAAAGTCAAAAATAAAGAGATGCAGAGTAAATCAACCTGAAAACAATGAAGATGATGATGAATAATACTCCTGGGGACACTATTATTTATCAGCAGTTTTTTGAGGGGGAGGAAAAAGGGGTTCCTGAATGGATACTCCTCCTCAAAATAAAAATGTCTGGCTTTGAGAGGGAAAAACAAAAAGACAGTTACTATAGACAGGGCATGCTTGACTGCAAAGACACATTTGAAAGGTAGTCAGGTCTTGAAACAAACTCACCCTGGGGTTATAAGGGGGATCAGATAAGATAATGAGTGTAAGAGAGAACCTC